GTGTGTGTCTTGGCGCGCGTGCATGACAAAATAAAAAAATCCACGTACAGTGTGTAAATACCAGTGTATGTCAGATAACAACGTAAAATAATTTAAATCAGAAACAACAACACTACGCTTCACAAAACAAAACATACTGTACACTGTGTATGTAGGCTACATGAGGCACCCAACGCGCATTACAGCAAGCAGCACAAACATCATGTGTCGTGTGCAAAGGTTCACACATGCAAGTCAGATGCGGTTACAGGAGATGAAAACATAATACTGATTACAGTAAGTATAACAGTATTGCAGCAACTTAACATATTATACTGTATGATGAGAAGGGAGGGAAAATGACCGTTTAGTTCATTAAACAGAGTTGTTGAGGGGCCACAGCTGTCTCCAGTTGTGGCCACTATTACCAGTACAGTATGTCAAAACCAGCGGGACCTTTTCTGATGTACTAGGACAGGTACACATGACCTGTGGTGTACTAGGACAGGTACACATGACCTGTGGTGTACTAGGACAGGTACACATGACCTGTGGTGTACTAGGACAGGTACACATGACCTGTGGTGTACTAGGACAGGTACACATGACCTGTGGTGTACTAGGACAGGTACACATGACCTGTGGTGTACTAGGACAGGTACACATGACCTGTGGTGTACTAGGACAGGTACACATGACCTGTGGTGTACTAGGACAGGTACACATGACCTGTGGTGTACTAGGACAGGTACACATGACCTGTGGTGTACTAGGACAGGTACACATGACCTGTGGTGTACTAGGACAGGTACACATGACCTGTGGTGTACTAGGACAGGTACACATGACCTGTGGTGTACTAGGACAGGTACACATGACCTGTGGTGTACTAGGACAGGTACACATGACCTGTGGTGTACTAGGACAGGTACACATGACCTGTGAAGGGTAATGCTACAGACATTGATTGACCAATATTCATGCTGCAGGTTATGGAGAGAAGTGACAGGAGGAGAAGATCACTAGTCGAGAGGAGCAACGAGTGAAGGAGGCGAATCGTGATGAGTCTCTCGTACCTGCAACTAATACACAAGAGGAATGTTTTGCGTGTGTGTGTGTGTGTGTGTGAGAGGGGGTGTTGTGGTGGATTGAATTTCACTGGATCACTGACCAATGAAATATTAATAAAAACAAACGAACAAGTGAAGCGGTGGATCATTTGATGTGGACGGAAGGTGTAGAGGGACTGCAGGCTGTTATTAAGTGATTAGTTTGAGAGATGGTTTATATTTTACCATAATGTAGGACCGTGGTACACCATCACTCACGTGCCAGAGGATCTTGCTTTTGAGAGAGAAAGAGAGAGTTTTGGCGGTAGTAAAGGCTATTTCTACCACCATCGTGATATGGGAGACTTTAACTGGTGAGGGACAAAAGGGTTGTAGGATAAACTGTGTGAGACGTTATCAATAATAAGTAGCAGGAGAGAGAGACCGTGTTCAAGATCGGCTTTACTTAACAAGTGATGATCCATTTACGACTCGACTCAGGAGAGTGCATGGACCGAACCTCACTCATCAGTCACAAGTAAAACGGAACAAGTTTTATCTTAAGTGTGGATTTATGTAAACAAGTTTCGTTCCAGCACCCGAGGGACAACTTTTGTAAACACTTTTGGGGAGGAATATAGTGTGTTCGGAAATAAAAAAAAATTGTACGGGAGATACTCTTGTGTTACTGTACAAGGGCGCGTAGAAGCTAAGTGGCAAATACCTTAGGGTGTTATTGGTAAGTTTCCAAAGAGTATATATTTAAAATCAATTAAGCTGGACACCGTTATATATAAAAGAAATGTAATGAATGAATGTTATCGCCACAACAGCCAGGGTCACGGGCACAACGTATTTTTACCTCAATGGTGAAGGAAACTTTACAAATACAGGGTATTCCCACAAAACCGAGAGGTAATAGTTGTCAATACAATAACTTTATAATTACGTCAAATATGGATCCCATGTCCCAATTGATATAACATAACGTCTCTTAACACTGCCAACAGCATAAGTATTTACTATACTACTAATCTTAAATTTTGTGCTGAAATACAGGTCACTCACTCAACATACAGGTCACTCACTCAACATACAGGTCACTCACTCAACATACAGGTCACTCACTCAACATACAGGTCACTCACTCAAAATACAGGTCACTCACTCAACATACAGGTCACTCACTCAACATACAGGTCACCACTCAACATACAGGTCACTCAAACATACAGGTCACTCACTCAACATACAGGTCACTCACTCAACATACAGGTCACTCACTCAACATACAGGTCACTCACTCAACATACAGGTCACTCACTCAACATACAGGTCACTCACTCAACATACAGGTCACTCACTCAACATACAGGTCACTCATACAGGTCACTCACTCAACATACAGGTCACTCACTCAACATACAGGTCACTCACTCAACATACAGATCACTCAACAACAACAACAATAATAATAATAATAATAATAATAATAATAATAATAATAATAATAATAACAGTAATAGTAATAATAATAGTAATAGTAATAATAATTATAATAATAACAACTGGTCATGAACATGTTAACATTCTCTCAAACAAAAGACCAACCATCAAGACCACTTATATCACCTCACTTTAAACACTACTAAGTCTGATAATATAATACAGCGTTGAGTACAAACTTTACAAGTGCGGGGTCTTTAAATACGAAGCATCAAGTGTGAGTGGCACACTTAGTGAAGCCAACGATAAAGGTAAACAAACTCGGCTGACGGCCTACTTTTACTACAAGCTGAAGGAGCTACTGATACTGGCTCACAGTGTTACTGATACTGGCTCACAGTGTTACTGATACTGGCTCAGTGTTACTGATACTGGCCCACAAGAGAGGGAGGGGGGGAGCATGACTAAGGTACAGGTGTAGGTGACTCAGCCTCTCGCCTAATTCGCTGTAACACTTGTACTTGATCGTCACACACCTCACCCCTGCCACCACCTACCACACACCCCTGCCTGGTTATTGTAATGGTGTTGGAGGGGTGGTGCTGGAGGGGTGGTACTGGGGGTGGTGTACAGGAGTACAAGTATAGTTGTTACACTGTGCCGCGTGTACCGGAAACGCCCAGATAACTGTGCAGTGCCACGCGCCCCATACACATACGTCAGTGTTGTTAGTGACACACACACACACACACACACACACACACACACACACACACACACACACGCGCGCGCGCGCGCGCGCCCTGTCAGTCCCTTGTCCCATCCATGAACCCTGAGACTCGTGAACACCTGAATCCGGCACATCACACGACCCAGTGCACCACCTATGAGTCTAACATTGCGTGAGGTCTCAGATTCACGAGTCTCGGGTCTGAGGACTGTACATAACACGCGACATACAGTTAAACACTGTTTGTTATTGTTTATTAAAAACAACAATAAACATCGTTGCTCTTTTATTAATACTGAAGTCACGAGAGTAGCTGTGTCCCGATGCCAACTTCCGCACACCAGTCCAACACTACCACAACCCTGTCACATTAACATGATAAACGTAAGTAGTGAGGGCGGCAGTAAATCATGTACAAGAAATAAGTACTAAGATACCGTCGACACAGACAGTGAAGGCGAGGGAGGCCATCCTGTAACGTACTAAAGGTCGTGTTCACAGATAACGCACCCTCCCTTATCACCATCATGGTGGAGTCACTACCATTATGATAGGACGTCACCAATACTACCATCATGGCAAGGAGTTACTATCACCACCATCATGGTAGGGAGTCATTATCACCACCATCATGGTAGGGAGTTACTATCACCACCATCATGGTAGGGAGTTACTATCACCACCATCATGGCAAGGAGTTACTATCACCACCATCATGGTAGGGAGTCACTATCACCACCATCATGGTAGGGAGTCATTATCACCACCATCATGGTAGGGTCACTATCAATCACACCACCATCATGGTAGGGAGTCATCAGGTAGAACACCACCATCATGGTAGGGAGTTACTATCACCACCATCATGGTAGGGAGTTACTATCACCACCATCATGGCAAGGAGTTACTATCACCACCATCATGGTAGGGAGTCACTATCACCACCATCATGGTAGGGAGTCATTATCACCACCATCATGGTAGGGTCACTATCAATACGACTTTCTTAACAAGGTGAACTTTGAAGAGTGTAAACTGCCTTTTTTACTCCACACCTTCCTGGTAACATACAGTATACACCTGTTAAGTTCAAAAGTGATAACATAAATCAGTTTTGATCAGATTAAATAATAAAAATAGCGATTTCGTTTACAAAATTAATCTGTGAGAATACAGAAAGGAAACTGACAAACTGTTACGATAAGTTGTAAGCTGTGTAAGAAATTGTGAGACAGGCCAGGGTGGTGACATGATCCTGGTCTGTGTGAGAGATGACCTACTTGGTGAAGGAAAATACATGCCTTGCCAGAATGAAAATCAGGTGAAACAAACAATAAAGGTAAACAAGATCAAATATACACGATGCACATTACTGTCAGCAGCACCTAGCTTCTTCACTAAATTAAACAGGTCTTCAAAACAAAGCTCAAAACAAGCTACATCAATGCTGTATGTACAAAAGTGATTATATATATATATATATATATATATATATATATATATATATATATATATATATATATATATATATATATATATATATCGATAACAACGGCACCTTAGCTAAGGTGCCTGCTGTTTCTTTTCCGTGTGATTTTATCAAGATTTATGTTATCTACGTTTTCATTGTGGATCTACATGATATATATATATATATATATATATATATATATATATATATATATATATATATATATATATATATATATATATATATATATATATATATATATATATGTGATGGTCTGCACGAACACCCAGAGTGGAACTGATGAAAATCAAAATTAATAAAGTACCTGTGGCTGCGTGGACGCTTCACTGGCTGCTGAAGACGATGCTGCTGAACTGACGGAGCGGTTGTCTACCTCGTCGTGGTGATGGCCGTTGCTAACAGGAGCGGAGGGGAGAAAATCTTGCGTAGGTGGTGGTGGTGCCTTCTCTCTGGCCGAAGTCAAGACGATCACATTGTCCTGTGTACTGCGCACAACGATGTTCTTACTCTTGTAGTACTTGTCCGCCTTCGGGTCTAACAGTAGCAGCCTCGTTTCTCCTGGTACAGCCTTGATCCTCTGAACGACCTGTCAACACATAAGACATGACATTATTAATCCGACAAGAGGCACCACTATTACACATGACCACAGATGATGCACCACCAACACACACATAATGCACCACCACACTTAAGGAAACCATTATTAACATACATTAAGGTAAGCGCTGTTTATTGATAGTGAGTGGGTGGGTGTGTGTTGAGTAAGTTCATCTACACTAATATGGGTGGGTCACTTCACCGGGTTAGTGTTGTGGGAAACTTGCAAAGGACTGTGGTGACAGTGTCAACTTAATCAGTTCCTCCCTTCCCCCCCCCCCGTACACACGCTACTGATAAAAATACGTCTTGTTCCAGAACTCTGTGAACACTATAACAAATACATGAAGACGCCAAAGTAAGTAAATAATGCGGATTAATTTTCTAGTGAGGAAGGTAAGGCCTTCCCCACACCTGCTGAGAAGGCCATGTTTCTCAACGTCTCTCTTACGCTGTGTAGGCAAACTTCACTTCAATAATCATGCTTATTTCATAACAAACCTCGTTGTGAATTATGGCACACATGTTGTTGTACAGTCGTGTACACAAAAGGCCTGGAAGCTTCGTCTTACTAGGTGAGTAACAATAATTATTTAAGTTATTTCTATTACACAAGATTGTATAGATGAGACATGAGACAGTGGAATGCCCTAAGTCTTTTATCCTCTCATGTTGTCTATTTAGGGCGACGTGTTTACATTTTGTCACTGTACACACTGAGCTGCCACATACAGTATACTGGTAGAGTAGCCAAGACAGCCTAGCTTAACGTTACTACATCTGTTAGTCTGATCAGTTTTCGTTGCTCCACCAATTAAATAATGGACTCTGGTAGAATAGGTTGAAGAACGTCCGAATATCTGCACAGTTTTGTGTACTGTCTGAGGGTAAGCCATTTTTAATTATGGTACATTTATTGGGAAAAGTTTTCTTCCATATATTCGGAAATGAGCATAATAGCATCACAAATGGCGTGTTTTCATAATCAAGGTATACAGCGAAACCAATCAGTGTATAATAACAGGTATCGCCTTCTTTCTGCTCTATAAATTGCTAACCCCATTAACAAAGAACAAATTTTTGCCAATAGTTTTGTAATTATACCCGACGATATCACAAGTGTGGTGTCTAGACTTATTCTTACAGTCAAAGATCACAATAAAGACAGTTTGAATATTAAAAATATTCATCTAACCTTTTTTTCAGATGTGAGACCACGGCATCTGGTAAGAGAACAGAACAATATTTAACTCCAAAAACGTCACAGGCAGATATATGATATGTATTTTATGTGATGTAGAGGCTCCAGATGACACGTCCTAACTGTGAACACATTCTACCATGTCTGTAACGCAGATACAAGGCCAAATGTCTCCTATCCAGAAACTTGCTCCGCATTCTCACAAACAAAAACACTAGCTACCGAGGCCTGAAGACCACCAGCCTCCCTCCAAGACCTGTTCTGTAGATGTCAGACGATCATCAAGACAAGTATACTATCTGCGTGTCAGTAAAGGATGGGTATATGACAAAAGGCGTATAACCTTATTTACTAACATGTTACAGACGAGACAGATATGTGAAGAGATCCTTAAGGTGAGAACCATTAACAAATGCTGTGAACTTCGCTCACACGTCAAGCTCCGAGTCTAGGCAATATCAAAAAGCTCTCTGATCACTCGCAGTCAACAGATTCCACTCAAATTGGATGATGCAAAACTTTTCAACCCCGATGCAGAGATAAAAGCCGACGGCATGGAATTTCACTTGTTACGAAAAACTACAATTACACTTACCAAATCTAGTGTTGAGCCCATGAGTAGTAAGATGACATCAAAGCTGACCTCGTTCCTGATTTCCTTTGGCGTTCCTGAGGTCAGACAACAGGAAACGTGTACACAAGAACTTGAGATTGAATTACCTGACATCATCCATGTTTTCTCCACTGACCATCGGAGGCTCCTCGTTGCACACACACACACACACACACACACACACACACACACACACACACACACACAATAACAAAAGACTACAAAGACATAACCATAAGACCACCTCCCATCATCGAGATTAGATTGATTGTTTCAGTGCCAACAGCCATGGCCTCTGCATCCGGGAGAGCCGGAAGGGTCAAGACGTACCTGGCGCTCCTCTCGGAGCAGCCAGGTCAACTGTTAAGTTGGCCCATACCAACTCCCTCCCCTGAACCCTCCTCCCCACCGGAATATCAACAAGTTCTCGCCAGAAGTTGCAATTTCATTTAGGAAAGGGAATGGAACCAGTGTTAAACAGAGGTGAACAGTGCGTAAGTCAGTGAGAACAACTCAACAGTAACAGTCGTACCAAAGTTAACCTTCACACAGTGAGGTCCCAGGTACCCAGTGATAACGGCCCGTGAGACCCAACAACAACCAGCGATGTGTTAATCCGTCTACGATAGGAAGGACTGGGACCACACCTCACTCATAGAACACCGTCTGTGAGGGAATTACTACACCACGTGAGGCCCCTCATAACACCATCTGAGGGAACTACTACACCACGTGAGGCCCCTCATAACACCATCTGTGAGGGAATTACTACACCACGTGAGGCCCCTCATAACACCATCTGTGAGGGAATTACTACACCACGTGAGGCCCCTCATAACACCATCTGTGAGGGAATTACTACACCACGTGGTCCCTCCTAACACCATCTGGAGGGAGTTACTACACCACGTGAGGCCCCTCATAACACCATCTGTGAGGGAATTACTACACCACGTGAGGCCCCTCATAACACCATCTGTGAGGGAATTACTACACCACGTGGTCCCTCCTAACACCATCTGGGAGGGAGTTACTACACTACGTGTTTGCTGTTCAACACCTACAATAATCTGTATGTTCACTGTATGTTCCATTACCTTTCTCTACTGAAGGCTTTTGTTAAACTACCAATGTATGTAATAAGTCATTTATGTCCAATGTATATTTTCAGCCTTCGGGCTGCAGAACTTTTTTAATAAACAGTTAATTATTATTATTATTATTATTATTAGATAATATCACTGCCCGAGTCGCCCAGAGAGTTCTTGGAGACATGGCAATGACGTGACTTCAGCGGCCAAAACAACATACGCTAGTCTGGTACTTTATACACACAAGTGGTGACGACAAGCTACTGTATGTTGAATTCATTAAGTTTTGAATCACCTTGCGCTTGGAATACTCAACTCTGAATAGCCGTGTGTCTCCTAATATTGTCACGGATAAGGAGCAATAATGCGTTGTGCTTTCCCCGGTAGTAAAAACATCCATCCGTACTACTACTACTACTACTACTAATAATAATAATAATAATAATAATAATAATAATAATTAACGGTTTATTGAAAAAGTTCTGCAGCCCGAAGGCTGAAAATATACATTGGACATAAATGACTTATTACATACATTGGTGGTTTAACAAAAGCCTTCATTAGAGAAAGGTAAAGGAACATACAGTGAACATACAGATTATTGTAGTGTTGAACAGCAAACACGTAGTGTAGTAACTCCCTCCCAGATGGTGTTAGGAGGGACCTCACGTGGTGTAGTAGTTCCCTCACAGATGGTGTTATGAGGGGCCTCACGTGGTGTAGTAATCCTCACAGATGGTGTTATGAGGGGCCTCACGTGGTGTAGTTCCTCACAGATGGTGTTATGCGGGACCTCACGTGGTGTAGTAATTCCCTCACAGATGGTGTTATGAGGGACCTGACGTGGTGTAGTAATTCCCTCACAGATGGTGTTATGCGGGACCTCACGTGGTGTAGTAATTCCCTCACAGATGGTGTTATGAGGGACCTGACGTGGTGTAGTAGTTCCCTCACAGACGGTGTTATGAGGGGCCTCACGTGGTGTAGTAATTCCCTCACAGACGGTGTTATATGAGGTGTGGTCCCAGGCCTTCCTATCGTAGACGGATTAACACATCGCTGGTTGTTGTTGGGTCTCACGGGCCGTTATCACTGGGTACCTGGGACCTCACTGTGTGAAGGTTAACTTGGGTGCGACTGTTACTGTTGAGTTGTTCTCACTGACTTATGCACTGTGTTGGTATGACGGTATTGGTAGACACGAGTGAACCTCTGCGGGGTAGGAACGTCCCACACGGGTGAACCACAGATTTGATGGACAAGAGACAAATCACAATCCTTTGTCTGACATTCAGCCAACATTTACATTAGCTGTGTTACGAAGAGAAGATCCAGACTGATAAATGTTAATAAATTATCTGCCGTTACACCCACCAGCTATAAAAACTCATACGTACTTCTGCTCAGTTTGTCTGTGGTTTAGCCTGGCTGGGATTGCACGCACACTACCACTGTGTTACCAGACTCGCCCCTACATTCTGTAACGCTACGAGACTTTCCTCATCACGTCTGTCACTCTTAAATATCGTAAGTAACCGACTGGCGTAACGCAACTTTGTGACACAGGCTTGCGTCATCATTTATGTTATCCTTCAGTACGATAACAACCTCTTAAATATGATTACTCGAGTCATCGTATTCAAGGGATTATGAGATCCAGCACCTAGTGTAGTGAAACCGCTCCATATATTTGCCTCCATTGGCGTTAACACGATTTGTTTAGTGATCTTTTTAACAACCCCAACACCTTCACATTAATACGTACTACCTACTAAAGACAGCCATATAGGAGAGTTTACTATGAGCTTCAATGATTTTTTCCTCCCTTCAGTATCCAGTCGTGTATCCATAACGTACGCAAATCCCGTAAAATTTAAACATCTTCATTTTATAAATGGTGAGGATCATATTGTTGTAATCGAAATTCATATTATGGGCTCGGATTCATTTCAAATATCTAGGTAGGAAGTTAGGCAAGATTAGGTACTGTAGGTTAGGTCAGGTTCTATCAATATGCAGGGGGTTAGGAAATTGCTAAGCTTGTTCCACTCGTCCACCACCCTATTTGTCAACCAGTTTCT